TACCATAGTAATTCCCATACAAACTTCAAATGGTTTGTGCCATCTCAGTTTCTCACCAAATGGGTTCAAATTTTGAGAGATTAGTCAGGATCTGATTTGGAATCGTTTAAGTATTGTGGAGCGAAAATTTCAAAATTTGCATCACTCTAATGGACACAGCTGGTTGGCGAAGCCTGGACAATGTTGTCAATCCGACAATAGCAGAGTGAGGAGGTGCGACGCGAACACTGGCGCGGTAACCATAGCACGGTGATAGAGGAAATGCTTCGCCAACCCGAGCGTCTGTTCACCATGGAGGTGCGGCTCAAACAGCGTCTGACTGGCATCCAGCGGCTGAATAAGAAATGCTCTTCCCCGGAAGCTACACCTAAGATGGCAGCCTCATCACGGCGGATAGGAGACCTTAGGCCAACCACCTACTGTCTCTGAAACCTTTACAATTGTTACAGAAACCAACAGAGAAAGACATCGAACTGATTTAACGGCAATGACTTTTAGCGCAAAACAACGGACACGAATTGGATCATGGAATGTATTGACGTTAGCCCAGCAGGGTAAACTGGCACAACTCGCCAACGAGGCGCGACGCATGAAGCTAGAAATCCTGGGACTGAGTGAAGTTCGTTGGCCAAACTTTGGAGAACACAAACTGCCGTCGGGACAGGTGCTACTATACTCTGGTATTCGAGGTGAAAACGCTCCCCGCCATCGTGGAGTTGGTCTCCTACTTAGCGTCCAGGCAAGTGCTGCGCTCATCAAGTGGGAGCCTGTTAATGAGAGGATAATCATTGCCAGATTTAGAACACGGGTTCGTAACCTTACAATAATCCAATGTTATGCGCCAACCGATGCTGCCGAGCTACAGGACAAGGAGAATTTTTACAGTCAACTGAATGCCGTCATGGATAAAGTTCCAAAGGGTGACATCAAGATCTACACTGGCGACTTCAATGCGAAGATCGGCTCCGACAACACGGACTAACGGTACTCGGCTCTAGAGAAGGAAGTCAAGCGCTCTTGCAGACGGGACAAGCGAGCGTGGGTGAACTTCCTGGCCGACGAAGGGGAGAAAGTCGCAAACACTGGCGATATACGCCTCCTCTACGATATCTCACGAAGCCTGAGTGGAGCAAGGATGAACCCGAGGATGCCAGTTAAGGACACGACTGGACAATTGCTTACCGACCCCACTGACCAGCTGAAACGCTGGTTTGAGCACTTCGAACAACTTCTTCAAGTTTTGACGGCCAACCAGCCATCAACATCTCGGCATGATCCGCCTAGGGTGCGGCGCATCACTCGCGTGAATTCCGAGGCCCCATCACTGCAGGAGATTGAAGCAGCTATCCGAAGCATGAAATCCAACAAGGCTCCAGGGGTCGATCGCATATCAGCAGAGATGCTCAAAGCTGACCCCATGCTATCCGCACAAATGTTGCATCAACTATTCTGTAATATCTGGGACACCACGACTTTTCCGGCCGACTGGATGCACGACATCTTAGTGAAGGTCCCAAAGAAGGGGAATCTGACTGTGTGCGACAATTGGCGAGGCATCATGTTACTGTGTATTGTTCTCAAAGTTCTGTGCATTATCCTGAATCGGATACGGCAGCAGGCAGGATTCCGTGCCGGAAGATCTTGTGTGGACCATATTGTCACGCTCCGGATCATCCTGGAGCAGGTCAATGAATTCCAAGAGTATAAAGGGACTCTTGGTATTCATTGACTACGAAAAAGCTTTTGACCGTCTCAATCACGAGAATCTGTGGGGCACCCTGAGACGCAAGGGAGTCCCGGATAAAATCGTCAACCTCATCGAAGCGCAGTATAAGGCTTTCACGTGCAGAGTTCTGCATAACGGAGCCTTGTTTGACCCTATCCGGGTAGTCGCTGGTGTGAGACAAGGATGTATACTATCACCGCTACTGTTTCTCATCGTAATCGACCGAGATCATGGTAGGTGCAATTGACCGTGTACCGAACAGTGGGCTGCTTTGGCAGCCTATCACCATGGAGCCACTCAACGACTTCGATTTGGCTGATGATGTTGCTCTACTAGCACAACGGTGCTCTGATATGCAGAGTAAGCTCAATGCGGCGGGTCTCACCATCAACGTCAACAAGACCAAATCGTTGGATATCAACACGGACAACCCTTCCAACTTTACGGTAGCGGGGCAAGCAGTGGAGAAGGTCGAAAGTTTCCAATATCTTGGCAGCCAAATAGCGTCGGACGGCGGGACCAAAAGCGACATAGGTGCACGAATCAAGAAGGCTAGGGCTGCCTTTGCGAGTTTACGAAACGTATGGAGATCCAACCAGATAAGTCAACGCACCAACATCCGAATTTTCAACTCGAACGTGAAATCTGTGTTGTTATACGCCAGCGAGACGTGGTTTGTATCAGCGTAGAACACTCAAAAGCTGCAGGTCTTCATCAACCGATGCCTGCGGTATATAATTCGTGCCTGGTGGCCTCACAACTGGATCTCGAATGCCGAGCTCCATCGTCGATTTCATCAGAAGCCGATAGCAACAGAAATTCGAGAGCGAAAGTGGAGGTGGGTTGGCCACACACTTCGACGGGGCGAAAACGAAATCTGCAAGCAAGCGCTGGATTGGAATCCAGCAGGACATCGCAGTAGAGGCAGAACCAGGGGCTCATGGCGGCGGAGCCTCAATAAGGAAATTAAGCAAGTCGATAGAAATCTGACCTGGGCCCAGGTCAAGGCAAAAGCGAGCAGCCGCCCAGGATGGAAGTCTTTCACGTTGGCCCTTTGCACCGCTGGTGGTGCACAGGACCCTTAAGTAAGTAAGTAAGTGATGTGCGTGTAGGCTCGTGTCTACTTAGCAGCAAACGGAATCCACTGTTTTTACATGTTTCCGCAAATTTGCTTTGGTCAGGGCCCAAAAAGTTTCGATTGGCCTGACCTGGGAACAGTTTGGCTGATTCATCTCCTTGGATACGAATTGGATCTTGTTGTCTTTTTACCAGGCTACCGTGTCCTTGGAGTAATGAACCGACACCAAATCCGGCCAGAATAGTACGTAGGCGTCGTGTTTGCGGATCATGGGTAACAGACACTTGTTTAAACACTCAAGCATGTTAGCATCGGTTGTCATTGTCTCCGTTGTCACAAATGGTTTGGAAAGCATATCACATGCACAAATGGCCAAACCATAGCCTTTTTATCAAATTTTTCTGTAAAAATCGACTTATCCGCGTCGTCAACACTTCAGCCATCATAAACGTAGTAACATAGAGGTAACTCTAAGACCGAAAGGTCCCGAAGAAACGTGCTCACCTTTTTGGCTCAGCTCTGGTACTCTCTTCGGTCCCAAGCTAATCGATGCACCCCTCGAAACATAGGAAAATTCACGAACCCCTTATTTTCAATAGGCCAAACAGAATCCAAATGGCATTTCACTGGCAAATAGGCCCATGAAAACTCGTAGGCCAAGTTGAGCAGCTAGAAGCAATTTTACATTTTCAACGATAAACGAATATTTCGCGACCCCTTATCAGAACCAACGGTAAATTTGGAAACCATCTAATAATAACATTCTTTTTGGTGCTAAACTATGCAAGAAAGACTAAGTGCGGGTAAATGGGCTAAATGGGGTAGTGAACCCTTGTAAAACCTTTTCACCACTGACGCGTATTAATCTCGAATGCTAAGCCACTCATCGATGTCGCCATTGAAGGGCTGCAGTTGTTTTGCTGGCTGGATCTATAGAGGATCGTGCCCCGAGCTCGACTTCCTCTCATCCCAATTAAAGTTGAACATTGCATTAGGTCTCAAGTAACATTGACAGATTATCTTCGTGGACTTTTTCTTTGCATCCTCACGGCCATGTTAAGACGTTCCCAGCTATTTTCAGTGCACAGATCGATGAAAGAAGCTTTTATCTATCTACTAATACGACAAACCCGACAAGAGACGGTTCTATACCAAAGTTATTAACGAAAGAGAAAGTCGATGAAGAGAATCGATCAATGTTACTTAGGACCTAATGCAGTGTTCAGCTTGAATTGGTTTGCATCCAACCCCAGCCGAGATTATTGGAACATTCAGAGGTAAACAATCTCAAGCACGTATACCTTTTGCAAACACAAATTAGTCTTAAATGTGTTGAACAAGCATTCTTTAAATTTTAATTGCAAACCTCCTATCGAACCACTCAAGCCTAGCCACCTTTTAAACAATCTAAAATCCAACGGGACGAACGGGCGATGCAGCTTCGCAAATCCTACTGTAATCTATTTAATAAAAACACGACATTTTTATCATCCCTGCAGTGACGGGGTGTGTGTGTGGCATCAGTGGAAAATCCCGTATCGCCTGTATTTAGTAGGAATTCATGCGAACTAAATCTGTGTAGGCTCGCCAGTGAAACGGTCGGGTGGGTGTGCAAAAGAGCGAAGTTTGCCATTCATGTTGTTGTATCTGGTCTCTTAGTTCGGTGTGCGGTTTGAGGACAGGACAAACAGTATCAAAACCAGATCGTCCCCAAATCTCGTACATGTTGCGATAGATTCCGAGTATTGTTTTCGTTTTCCCACTTTACCGCAACTCATTTCCACCAAATAGCAGACAAATTCCATATAGTATACCATCTGGCTGCCAAGTATGCAGGCAGCCGGGCACAGAATAATTCGACCGAGCTCGCCCGGTGGTAGTTGGGTAATAGCATAACAGCATTTCAGCGGTCGATTGGGGATTTCAGCGTGGCACCGAAAGAGCGAAATAGAAGCACTGCGTACCAGCAAATGGTGCACTCGATCCAGTGATTATTTTGATGAAATGCATTCCCTCGAAATTGTCCGTGGTCGTGAATTTGCAGCAAGAATTGAATGCACCGAAAAATGTGTAAAACAACTTCCATTCACCATGAAATACCTCTCGATTATCCGTAGTACTTCGAAATGTTTTATTACCATTCAAGCAAGTTTTAAAAAACAAACATAACTGAATAATTCATTCCACCCATTACAGATGCTCCGGTGTGTGACCACGAAAAAATCGTCCTAATTGGTGCATCGAAAAACGAAAATATGGAAATTTTATGCGAGATTTATGCAGATCCTCCAGCCAGGTAAGAGTCATGATTCTACTCACCACAAAAAAAAAACATTGTTCATAGCCATTGACACTTAAAACTAATAATCAATGGATTTTCAACTTTTTGGTTCGCGCTGGTAGCGCACCTGTAAACTTGTTTGGTATTTGTATGTATTTCCATGGCACAGAGGGTAGCAGGTTTATAAAGTCAATGCATGGTGCATAGCTGTTGGTCGAGTGTTCATCTGTGATGCCTTTCACCATCAGCTCAACGGACATGTAAATTGAAGAATGCTGGTAGGATATTTGCACTCAATTTTACTTAGCATTTCCACCAGTCAGTGTGTTGAATCAACGCCAAACGAAGAATCTATCTCTATTGAACTCGCTCCAGAGCCAATCTAATCAAATTATTTGTTTTCAGTTTTTGGATTCTTAATAGTGATGCACGTCTACACACAAAAAACATGGCATACACATCGAATATAACGATCCATTTCATACATCCTCTGCATGTTTTCTTAAAACAACTGTAATTTCAGTTCTTACAATAGACTGCAGCGTATAATCAAGTTTTTGCTAGAATGAATAATTTCGTATAAAATCTTCAAATTTCCACACCGTTCAGCCATACTCTTTGTTTTTACTGAAGGTACACTCAAGAGCGCTCTCAAGTGTAAAAACACAGAGAGTGGCTCTGCGGAGCGAGAATTTTGAGTGTTGATAGGAGATCAATAACTCTAAACTTTCTATTCTAAGATTAGATAACTGAAAATTCAATTAATTATATCGTCCGACCATTTCCCACAGAGATGGCGCTGTTACGTTGGTAGGAACAAGGGTAAGAAGTGATAAAAATTCCCATATAAAAATTGAGAGAAGTGGGAATAATTCGCTTTCGGTGCATATTCAGGTCAAAAAAAGTTAACGGCAACCTAAAGAAATTAGTTAGGGACTTAACCGTTAAGTTTTTGCCCGGGTATTATTGTTAAACAAGCTACAATTAAATAAAAATTATTTTTCCCCATACACGGAAAACAAATTCGTTAACTTAAGATAACAATTCTAATAGTTACTTTCACATGGATAATATTGTTGTTTGAAAGAAACCCATAGTTACTCCAACATTAATTTGACCGTCAACTCAATCATATCTACCTTATAGATTCAAATACCCAACAAACAATTGCCTATTGAAGAAACGACTTCTTGACGATTTTATTCCACTTCATGCTTAATAATACTTGTACTATTTTTAATAATAACTTCTGTTCAGGCTTTGTTTACACAAATCTGGAGAATTTATTCAACCACAACATCGAAATATTTGGTGTTGAATAAAGTATGTCTAGAAGCTTTAAATCGACTTACAAGAGTTGTAACAGAGTTTATTCGATCAAATTTTTGATTATTCAGGGTTTATTAGACATCATTACTTCCTTAAACAGCGATGGTATAAAGGTGTATATAGACGCTTGATTCTCATGTGAAATAATGTTTAATAAGACACTATTATACATTTATATTAAACGATTATTCAACTACGGGATAATTAATCCGAAAATAAGAACGGTACAGAAGAGCAGGGTTGTGTTCTCGTTAATGATTGTTATGTCATTTATTTCTGTCGAAGCATGCACCCAACACAAGATCTAGAAAATCGATTACATACATACATACTCACACATGTCGTTATATGGGATTCGAACCATGACCTTCCGATCACCAGCCGCTTGCCTTGCTATCAATATCCTAGATTACATCACATGGGCAGCTAAATAAACAATAAAAGCTTGCATCTGAAAACCTATCAGCACTTCCAGCCGTAACTCTAGCTAATTCAAGGAGATGTGAAAATGATTAATTCATTCATAGTTGTTTAACATTAGACCAACGTTACCTCTCCATCTCTCTCATTTCGATGGAAAGGATGCTACACGCAAACCAAAAATCTATTACAATGAATGTTAGTTCCAGTTCCTATCATCCTCTGTTCATGAACATCGCAACGAATGTTAGGAATTGACCATGCAGGCAATGTAATGGTTTTTTGTCTTTTTTATTTCGTGTTCCATCTACGCTTTCGACTATACCAGTAAGCTTGTAGAACGACGCACATTGTAGAACATTGTAGAACGACGCACACACTTGTCTCGAATCTCTCCAGCAGAAAAAGCATACGAAGTCGAGCATGCGAGAAAATGAGCGCTTCATGTTTGCTTTTAGGCTTACCACATTCAGAAGCATGGAGAGAGCAGTGGAGGAAGCACAGGTCTTATAGATGCAATGTCCGTGGTTCGAGTCCAGTCGGCAACCTTTTTTCTATTTTTTTCGACATAATTAATCTCACTCACTAATACACTCCACATTTTTCGGTCTCCAATTTTCTTACATCGGACCGCAGCTAGGTATATCGCATCCTCGGTTCATGCGGTCTCCACTTACATCCTCTGATGATGAATCCCACATAATTGTAAGCGAATCTTACATCCACCGGTTGGGTGTATTCTTTTCGATAGATCTATGAATTGGTTGTCCTGAGTAATACGATTTATGATTACGATTTAAATTAATAAGGCGTAGAAAATAAATAAAAAAAAGGTTGAGGCTGGGATTGAACTCTCGAGCTTCTACTTGGAAAGCGGAAATGGTAACCACTATGCTACCAATTTTGTTTTGTTGTTAGCCTGAAGCAGTGTTGTGGAATAATGAATGAATACGCCGTTTGTAAAGCATTTACAAAGCATGCAATTAAAACATGGACGCATAGTGGTATAAGAGCTATTATGCTGACTGTATTCACCTTGTTTCAGCAATATTGTTAAGCAATGCAATGGAATATAGTAATGGAGCTAGAAAACCATTATTTGACGTATAGTAAAGCATGTTATTAAATCCATTGAAACAGTCGGATTAAAGCGTCAATTTATGTGAAAATTACACTTATTCAGTATGTTATTAGATCAAACTTCTGGTGTTCAATCAGGAAGACAGTCATCGCTTGTAAATATTTTAATAAGTGTATTATTCAAATCAGAGTAATGAGCGGAATCAAGGCGCATCTATCGATCTCAATGAGGTTTTCTGAGCACATAATTTGACAACCTGTTTTATGCAGCATTGTACACTGTTATAAAGCATTTATTCAATCTATATGCTTATTTGTGACTCTGAATTGTTTTTTGGGCAGTGTTGTGGAATAATGAATCTAATACGTAGTTTATAAAGCATTTACAAAGCATTCAACTAAAACATGGACGCATAGTGGTATAAGAGCTATTTTGCTGACTGTATTCACAATATTGTAAAGCAATGCAATGAAATCTAATAATGGAGCTACAAAACAATTATTTGACGTCTAATAAAGCATTTTATTAAAGCAATTGAAAACAGTCAAATTAAAGCGACAATGTATGTGCAAATTACACTTATACAATGTGTTATTAGATCAAACTTCTGGTTCTGAATCAGGAAGACGGTTAACGTTTATAAAGTTTTTAACAAGTAAATTAATCATATCTGAGCAAACGGCGGAATAAAGGCGCATCTATCGATCTCAATGAGCTTTTTTCAGCACATAATTCGACATCCTGTTTTATTCAGCATTGTACACTGTTATACAGCATTTAACATAAATAATTGAACAATATAGTTATTTTGACCGGAAAAATAATTGCGTCTGCTATAATTTGTTCTCCGTGTACAGTTTTACCTGATTTACTACCAGTCCCCGAGAGCCAAAAAATTCAAATTTGAGAGAGAAAATTTGCTCTCACTAGTTCAATTTCTCAACATGCCATGTATTTTGATGACACTCTATTTGGGATTTCCCTCTCACCGAGTACAACATAAAGTACATGACACTACAAAACGTGTCTGGTACCTCTATTTATGCATTTTGATTGATATCCTATTTTGCAAAAAGGTACTTTCTGTCCCGCCCCATTCATAAAATTCGGCAGGAAATCCTGTGAAGGGTGAACTATTTTGAGTGCAGAATGTGTTAAAAATGAGGGACTACGGATGTTAATCTAGATGCATATATAGAGCTACCAGACATGTTTTGCACTGCACTGTCCTCTGTGAACAATTAACGGAAAGCAGTTTATGTGTAGTTTCCGATATATGTCACCGCCAACAACAGTAGTGACGTCTGATGGAAAAAAAAAATGCAGAAGCTTGCACTAAATATGAATTTAGATTAACATCCGAAGTTCCTCCTTCTTGCATTTTCTGCACAACAAATAAATTTCGAAGCCACGCCCTCTAAAAAAATTTCCCGTCGTTTTGATGAAAAAAATTTATGGATGTAAATCTTAATGCATATACAGAGGTGCCTGACATATTTTGCAGTACATGTACTGTATTTTGTAGTCCATGAGAGGGAAATCACAAATCGACTGTCATAAAGATACATGGCATGTACAGAGATTGAGCTCGTAAGAGAGAGAACTTTACTACATTGATATGAGTCAAGGGGGGGAAAGTGTTTAATAAGGTCCTCTCCTACTCCAACTACGCATATGAGACAGAGCAATTGTTTTTTGAATAATTCGTGTCAACATTATCAAATTTATATGATAAGAAACTCCGAAATTATTTCAGTTTGGAACGTCCATTGGTACACCGGCAGTGTTGGCAGAAAAATGTGTTTTTGCAATTTAATTCAAACCATAAATATTTTAACACCAATAACTTTATTAGAAATATTCTAGCATCGAATTTCATAAGACAAAATTGTTAGGCACTTCCTGGACTACATTTTAAATAAATTATGGTCTCTAGGGATGAAAATGCAAAAAATATGGTTTCCCCATACAAACTTCAAACGCAATGCGGAAAACCGGGTTACAACCAATCGTCCCCAATTTTTTTACAGTTGTTTATGACCCCAAAATGGAAACAAAAAAGGTTGTTCTTGCTTGATGGGGTCAAAAATGCGTTTTTCCATATAACGGTTACCCACCCTAATACATAAATAACTCGAATCCAGGAGTTCTCTAAAATTTCAACAAAATGCTGGTCTGGGAGAAT